TTTTTATTAACACACTGGCCGATTCCCACTAAGGCAGGGTGGCCCAAAAAAGAAAAACTTTCACCATCATCCACTCCATCACTGTCTTGCCAGAAGGGTGCTTTACACTACAGTTTTTAAACTGCAACATTAACACCCCTCCTTCAGAGTGCAGGCACTGTACTTCCCATCTCCAGGACTCAAGTCCGGCCTGCCGGTTTCCCTTAATCCATTCATAAATGTTACTTAGCTCACACTCCAACAGCATGTCAAGTATTAAAAACCATTTGTCTCCATTCACTCCTATCAAACATGCTCACACATGCCTGCTGGAAGTCCAAGCCCCTTGCACACAAAACCTCCTTTACACCCTCCCTCCAACCTTTCCTAGGCCGACCCCTACCCCGCCTACCTTCCACTACAGACTTATACACTCTTGAAGTCATTCTGTTTTGCTCCATTCTCTCTGCATGTCCGAACCACCTCAACAACCCTTCCTCAGCCCTCTGGACAACAGTTTTGGTAATCCCGCACCTCCTCCTAACTTCCAAACTACGAATTCTCTGCATTACATTCACACCACACATGCCCTCAGACATGACATCTCCACTGCCTCCAGCCTTCTTCTCACTGCAACATTCATCACCCATGCTTCACACCCATATAAGAGCGTTGGTAAAACTATAATCTCATACATTCCCCTCTTTGCTTCCAAGGACAAAGTTCTTTGTCTCCACAGACTCCTAAGTGCACCACTCACCCTTTTCCCCTCATCAATTCTATGATTCACCTCATCTTTCATAGACCCATCCGCTGACACGTCCACTCCCAAATATCTGAATACATTCACCTCCTCCATACTCTCCCCCTCCAATCTGATATCTATTCTTTCATCACCTAATCTTTTTATCCTCATAACCTTACTCTTTCCTGAATTCACTTTTAATTTTCTTCTTTTGCATACCCTACCAAATTCATCCACCAATGTCTGCAACTTCTCTTCAGAATCTCCCAAGAGCAAAGTGTCATCGGCAAAGAGCAACTGTGACAACTCCCACTTTATGTGTGATTCTTTATCTTTTAACTCAACGCCTCTTGCCAAGACCCTCGCATTTTCTTCTCTTACAACCCCATCTAAAAATATATTAAACAACCACGGTGACATCACACATCCTTGTCTAAGGCCTACTTTTACTGGGAAATAATCTCCCTCTTTCCTACATACTCTAACTTGAGCATCACTATCCTTGTAAAAACTCTTCACTGCTTTCAGTAACCTACCTCCTACACCATACACCTGGAACATCTGCCAAATTGCCCCCCTATCCACCCTGTCATTCGCCTTTTCCAAATCCATAAATGCCACAAAAACCTCTTTAGCCTGATCTAAATACTGTTCAATTATATGTTTCACCGTAAACACCTGGTCCACACACCCCCTACCTTTCCTAAAGCCTCCTTGTTCATCTGCTATCCCATTCTCTGTCTTACTCTTAATTCTTTCAATAATAACTCTTACCATACTCTTTACCAGGTACTCTCAACAGACTTATCCCCCTATAATTTTTGCACTCTCTTTTGTCCCCCTTGCCTTTATACAAAGGAACTATGCATGCTCTCTGCCAATCCCTAGGTACCTTACCCTCTTCCATACATTTATTAAATAATTGCACCAACCACTCCAAAACTATATCCCCACCTGCTTTTAACATATCTATCTTTATCCCATCAATCCCGGCTGCCTTACCCCCTTTCATTTTACCTACTGCCTCACGAACTTCCCCCACATTCACAACTGGCTCTTCCTCACTCCTACAAGATGTTATTCCTCCTTGCCCTATACACAAAATCACAGCTTCCCTATCTTCATCAACATTTAACAATTCCTCAAAATATTCCTTCCATCTTCCCAATACCTCTAACTCTCCATTTAATAACTCTCCTCTCCTATTTTTAACTGACAAATCCATTTGCTCTCTAGGCTTCCTTAACTTGTTAATATCACTCCAAAACTTTTTCTTATTTTCAACAAAATTTATTGATAACATCTCACCCACTCTCTCATTTGGTCTCTTTTTACAATGCTTCACCACTCTCTTAACCTCTCTCCTTTTCTCCATATACTCTTCCCTCCTTGAATCACTTCTACTTTGTAAAAACTTCTCATATGCTAACTTTTTCTCCCTTACTACTCTCTTTACATCATCATTCCACCAATCGCTCCTCTTCCCTCCCGCACCCACTTTCTTGTAACCACAAACTTCTGCTGAACACTCTAACACTACATTTTTAAACCTACCCAATACCTCTTCGACCCTATTGCCTATGCTCTCATTAGCCCATCTATCCTCTAATAGTTGTTTATATCTTACCCTAACTGCCTCCTCTTTTAGTTTATAAACCTTCACCTCTCTCTTCCCTGATGCTTCTATTCTCCTTGTATCCCATCTACCTTTTACTCTCAGTGTAGCTACAACTAAAAAGTGATCTGATATATCTGTGGTCCCTCTACAAACATGTACATCCTGAAGTCTACTCAACAGTCTTTTATCTACCAATACATAATCCAACAAACTACTGTCATTTCGCCCTACATCATATCTTGTATACTTATTTATCCTCTTTTTCTTAAAGTATGTATTACCTATAACTAAACCCCTTTCTATACAAAGTTCAATCAAAGGGCTCCCATTATCATTTACACCTGGCACCCCAAACTTACCTACCACACCCTCTCTAAAAGTTTCTCCTACTTTAGCACTCAGGTCCCCTACCACAATTACTCTCTCACTTGGTTCAAAGGTTCCTATACATTCACTTAACATCTCCCAAAATCTCTCTCTCTCCTCTACATTCCTCTCTTCTCCAGGTGCATACACGCTTATTATGACCCACTTTTCGCATCCAACCTTTACTTTAATCCACATAATCCTTGAATTTACACATTCATATTCTCTTTTCTCCTTCCATAACTGATCCTTCAACATTACTGCTACCCCTTCCTTGGCTCTAACTCTCTCAGATACTCCAGATTTAATCCCATTTATTTCCCCCCACCGAAACTCCCCTACCCCCTTCAGGTTTGTTTCACTTAGGGCCAGGACATCCAACTTCTCATTCATAACATTAGCAATCATCTGTTTCTTGTCATCCGCACTACATCCACGCACATTCAAGCATCCCAGTTTTATAAAGTTTTTTTTCTTCTCTTTTTTAGTAAATGTCTACAGGAGAAGGGGTTACTAGCCCATCGCTCCCAGCATTTTAGTCGCCTCATACGACACGCACGGCTTACGGAGGAAAGATTCTTTTCCACTTCCCCATGGACAATAGAAGAAAATGAATATAGATAAGAGTAAGGTGATGAGGGTATTAAACAATTTAGATAAAGAAAAATTGAATATCACACTGGAAGGGGGGGAGTATGGAAGAAGTGAATGTTTTCAGATATTTGGGAATTGACTTCTTAGCAGATGGGTTAATGAAGGATGAGGTAAACCATACAACTAATGAAGAAAAAAAAGGTGAGTGGTGCATTGAGGTATATGTAGAGACAAAGAACATTATCCATGGATGCAAAGGGAATGTACGAGAGTATAGTGGTACCAACACTCTAATGTGGGTGTGAAGCATGGGTTGTAATTACTGCAACGAGGAGGCAGCTGGAGGCAGTGGAGATGTAGTGTCTAAGGGCAATGTGTGGTGTAAATATTATGCAGAGAATTCAAATTGTAGAAATTAGGTGGTGGTGTGGAGTTACTAAAAGAATAACAAAAAAGGCACAATACCGTGATTGGAACGATACACAGATAACCCGCACATAGAAGAGAGGAGCTTACGACGATGTTTTGGTCCAAGCCGGACCGAAACGTCGTCATAAGCTCCTCTCTTCCATGTGCGGGTTATTTGTGCATAGTTACTTAAAGTATTAGTCAGAGGGCTGAAGAGGGGCTGTTGAGATGGTTTGGTCAGAGAGAATGGAACACCATCTTTCTTCTCCATGGGGAAATGGAACAGAATTCTTCCTCAATAAGCCACTTGTGTTGTAAGAGGCAACTACAATGCCGGGAGCAAAGGGGCTAGTAACCCTTCTCCTGTATACCTAACTACATTTAAAAAGAGAAACTTTCATTTTTTTTTTTTTAAGTCACCCTGCCTCTGTGGGATACAGCCAATTCACTGAAAAAAAAAATATACATGTCATGGAAATTACACACACACACCTACCATCCGACTTACAACCGAGTTCGGTTCCGAGAAACCAGTCCTATGTCGAAATGGACGTAAGTCGAACTTTACTACTGAATATCAACATCACATTTTTTTAATGACTATTTTATTGTTTTATTTTGGTATTTCATGCTTTACTTTACTTTTTATGCTGTTAGTACTGTATTTTATACTGTAAGGTTTAGGATAAACACTGTGTACAACACAAATAGTTGTTTATTTCCCAGAAATTTGGCAAAAAAAATACGGTCGTAAGTCGAGTGGTCGTAAGTCGAGCAGGTCATAAGTCGGATGGTAGGTGTACTTTTATAAAGAACTAACCACTAATGAATGGGTAGCTCTCCTCTGAAGACCAATTCTTTAAAGGAATGAGGTACTTACACTATTCTGGCATACCTGACTTACAAAAAGCCATCAGAAAAGGAGGCAGACTGGAATAAAGGGCTTTGACTCTTTGGATCTCTTCAAGTTCGACACTTAATAGCTTTATTACTCAATTCTAGAGTATTCTCAATGAACAAATTAGAGTACTTCATCAACCTCATACATTTTAATCAAGCTCCTCGTTAGCATAACTTGCAAGAAATTATATGTAAATCCAGAAATAGTACTCATGAGATTTTTTTGTCAAGATGTGCTGAATCATAACGCATACACTATTATGAAGTTTCCTGTACCATCATGTAGACAATTTAAATTTACTGCCAACCATGGCCTTACAAAAAAAAAAAAAAAAAAAAAAAAAACAGCACTATTCTCTGTTTCAATTGCATAATTTTTAAGTGACTTACCTGCAATCCCTTGTTGTAAGATTCTATGAGTAGTGACTTCATGTCTATGTCAGTATGCAGTATTGGTTTATTCTTGGCCAGGGTGAGCATCCCTAACCAATGGCCAAGATTTTTCAATAGAGATTTGTCAGAATAATTAGCTGCTGATTTATCAGCCCTTAGGAGTACCTGAAACAAGAAATTTGACTATGTTCACATTTTATTATAATCATTTTGTAATATATAATACACCTTTCAATTATAATGATTAACATCAAGAATTAAAATCATTGCAGTATGAAAAATTATTTTACCTTGATATTCCTGAGTGTCTCCCGACAGACCATGGCATTAACATTATTCATTTTCATCTGATCCAGAAATAGAGAATACAGTGTATGAAAGTTGTTCTCTATGGATGCACGTTTCATCACCAAATACTGTGCCACCCATAGCCAATATTCTTCACCTACTACCTCACGTAACTCTTCACACTGTAGAGGAAATATTTTTTTTCATTATATACTATCTTATCAACTAACTAATCTTCTAAATACTGTCATCTATTCCTGGTTTGTTTAGTTTCCCGAGCTGAGAGAGCATTTGTCCAAATACAGTATAAAATGAGTACCATATTGTAATGCGTTAATCTCTCTTGATCTTTCGGAAAAATGCATGATCCACACAATAAATATTTCTAAATACGTATAGGCAATTACAAATAAGTGAGACTAGAAACCTATTTTATTTGGGCATAAAAACTAGCTAAAATGTTTTATTCTTTTCTTTTTTGGTCACCCTGCATTGCTGGGAGACCGCCAGCATGTTAAAAAAAAAAAATCTGAATTTCTGTATATTTTTTGAACTGAAATTCAAAAACTTTTCTCTTACTCTGAAAGTTTCTATCTAGGATGTTATAAATTCAATATTTTTTTTCCAAATTCAGAGACTTTCAAACAAGATAAATTAATATGTTTAAAAAGAAAAGAAATTTTAAGGTATTTATTTAGAAGTGATCTCTCTTTATATTACAATACAGTGGTACCTTGACTTATGAGTTTAATTCATTCCATGACCGAGCTCATAACTCAATTTGCTCATGTATCAAATCAATTTTCCTCAATGAAATTAACTGAAATGCCATTAATCAGTTCCAGCGGAATTCCTGGCTCTCGGGAGGCAGGAGAAAATACTTCAATTTAATGCTAATATCAACTCTATGGCTTATTTATCTATCACAATTGATCTAATATGACATAATAAACAATATAAATAACAGAAACTTGATAAATACTCTAGAATGAATAAAATATGTCATTATGTAACAAGTGGTGGTAGCCACTCCCAAGGTAAAAATAATTATCGCTCTGACCCTATCTTCCCATTCTGGCCTTTTTCAGGTCTTATTACAAGAGAAAATGGAGTGTTTGTGAAGCTAACTGCACTAGATCATTAGTTTCATAAGGAAAACACTGAAATGAAAGCAATTTTCTCATGTTTTTTCTATGATTTCATGCTTTAATTTAATGGATATCATCCTCGTCTTCACAGCACTGTCCATTGCACTTACTTTCTTTGGACCCTTGGTTAGAAAAAAGAAATTTGGCAAAATAACTGCGCAAAAAGCACAAAACGCTGGGATGCTCGGTGGATGTTGTGGCGTTCGCTGCGCCAACTTGTGGCAGCATATCTGAAGCTCACTCATAACTTGGATTTTGGCTCGCAGCTCAAAACAAGAAATCAACCGAGCGATGGCTCATAACTCGGAAAACTTAGGGCACTCGTAAGTCAAGGTACCACTGTACTGGACTTTCCAGAGCTAAAAATTTATTACTGCCATAACCAATAATTAATTTTAGACTGATACTGATATGAAAATTAGCCAATACCTATCAACACTGGTACCAATACCATTAAAATTAGCCAATACCTACCTACACCCTTACTTATTATGATCATCCTCTTTCCAATACAAGCTTCCACAATGTTCATACTCCTGGCTTTCTCAAAACAAACAATTATAAACGTTAACGTTCATCTACTAGAACAAATAAAGTTCACAATTTATTATCATGTAGCTTTTGGGAATCTTCTGATTACAATGTGAAAACGACAAGTCAGGATAAAGCTCTGATGGTTTTAAAAGTTTGTAGCATTGAACAATACTTACCTTTTGAGGAAGGTTAACTTGAGCAAGGTTATTGAAGATAAAGGCAACTTTGTCTTGTATATGCTCAGGAGGAGGAGTGATTTTTTCTTCCTTCTCCGTGGCAACGAGCAGAGTTTCTATGTTGGTAGTAGTTATTGTTGGCTGTTGCTGAAGTATTAAAAATGCATTAAAGAATTCAATCAGTGATATAAGGGACACATCATATAGTTTTACACATGACTTCAGCTCCACACTATATTGGTCTACCTTTTCAAAAAACACTGAATTTGAATGTCTAAGTCCTGACCCTATTGCCTTAACCTTCTGAGGGTCCAAGCCGTAGTTCTACATCATGAGCTCAGCTCACTCAGACAAGCTGTGAGCAGTAAATTTGGGCCTAGATATGAGAGAATGCATCTATGTGGAAAGTGTGCACCATCAAAAATAAATCCTGCAGCACGCAGTGCATAATGAGAAAAATAATGCGACCATGTTTTTAGATTGAAACAATGACTTTGCGGTGTATTTTCGTATGGTTTTCTCAGCTGTATTTGCGGTTTCTTGGTCTCATTTGACAGAATGGAAGATATATGACAGAAATACAGATGATTTTGATTAGTTTTATTATTGAAAATAGCTTGAAATTGAGCTCAAAGTAATGGAAATGTTCAATTTTTGCCGATGTTCAAGAGTAAACAAATGACATCATGCATCCAATACATGTCAACTGGTGGGTCTAATATATGTTTACGAATGTGCTGATATTATTTATACAATTATTACAATATTGCATAGCAGTAAATCTATTTTTTGGTGTGAATAAAAATTCTTTATGTAAATAAAAATAAAAATGAAATTCATCTGTAAAGCCTGTAAAATGTTACTAATAAACAGAGGAAATGTTATTTTAGCACCAGGAATGCCTGCATTGTTTATTCTAGACCATATTTTGAAATTGGAATATTTTGAACTGTGTATGAAACTGGCCAAATTACCAATTTCTGATCACTATACAGTGGACCCCCACATAACGATCACCTCCGAATGCGACCAATTATGTAAGTGTATTTACGTAAGTGCGTTTGTACGTGTATGTTTGGGGGTCTGAAATGGACTAATCTACTTCACAATATTCCTTATGGGAACAAATTCGGTCAGTACTGGCACCTGAACATACTTCTGGAGTGAAAAAATATCGTTAACCGGGGGTCCACTGTATTGGGAAGCTGAAATAGTTGACTGGGCAGTTTCTTGTGCTCAATTAATAAAACAGAAGTAATACTAGCGAAATAGCAAAGAATTTGGTTGACTGGAATAATGTAATTGGCCTAAAATAGGAGTCAAAGTGGGCAAAATCGCTGATACATAAATATTGCTAACACAATAAAATTTGCAAGTGTAAGTTCGACAGTTTTCCATAAAATCTAGTCCTTCTTGTATTACCTTCAGAAAAAGATTCTTACCAGTTCATAGGAATTTTTTTTTTTTTTTTTTTTGATTAACACACTGGCTGATTCCCACCAAGGCAGGGTGGCCCAAAAAAGAAAAACTTTCACCATCATTCACTCCATGACTGTCTTGCCAGAAGGGTGCTTTACACTACAGTTTTTAAACTGCAACATTAACACCCCTCCTTCAGAGTGCAGGCACTGTACTTCCCATCTCCAGGACTCAAGTCCAGCCTGCCGGTATCCCTGAATCCATTCATAAATGTTACTTTGCTCACACTCCAACAGTACGTCAATTATTAAAAACTATTTGTCTCCATTCACTCCTATCAAACACGCTCATGCATGCCCGCTGGAAGTCCAAGCCCCTCGCACACAAAACCTCCTTTACCCCCTCCCTCCAACCTTTCCTAGACCAACCCCTACCCCACCTTCCTTCCACTACAGACTGATACACTCTTGAAGTCATTCTGTTTCGCTCCATTCTCACTACATGTCCAAACCACCTCAACAACCCTTCCTCAGCCCTTTGGACAACAGTTTTGGCAATCCCGCACCTCCTCCTAACTTCCAAACTACGAATTCTCTGCATTATATTCACACCACACATTGCCCTCAGACATGACATCTCCACTGCCTTCAGCCTTCTCCTCGCTGCAACATTCATCACCCATGCTTCACACCCATATAAGAGCGTTGGTAAAACTATACTCTCTTACATTCCCCCTTTTGCCTCCAAGGACAAAGTTCTTTGTCTCCACAGACTCCTAAGTGCACCGCTCACCCTTTTCCCCTCATCAATTCTATGATTCGCCTCATCTTTCATAGACCCATCCTCTGACACGTCCACTCCCAAATATCTGAATACATTCACCTCCTCCATACTCTCTCCCTCTAATCTGATATCCAATCTTTCATCACCTAATCTTTTTGTTATCCTCATAAACTTACTCTTTCCTGTATTCATTTTTAATTTTCTTCTTTTGCATACCCTACCAAATTCATCCACCAACCTCTGCAACTTCTCTTCCGAATCTCTCAAGAGCACAGTGTCATCAGCAAAGAGCAACTGTGACAACTCCCACTTTATGTGTGATTCTTTATCTTTTAACTCCACGCTTCTTGCCAAGACCCTCGCATTTACTTCTCTTACAACACCATTTATAAATATATTAAACAACCACGATGATATCACACATCCTTGTCTAATGCCTACTTTTACTGGGAAATAATCTCCCTCTTTCCTACATACTCTAACTTGAGCCTCACTATCCTCGTAAAAACTCTTCACTGCTTTCAGTAACCTACCTCCTACACCATACACCTGCAACATCTGCCACATTGCCCCCCTATCCACCCTGTCATATGCCTTTTCCAAATCCATAAATGCCACAAAAACCTCTTTAGCCTTATCTAAATACTGTTCACTTATATGTTTCACTGTAAACACCTGGTCCACACACCCCCTACCTTTCCTAAAGCCTCCTTGATCATCTGCTATCGTATTCTCCATCTTACTCTTAATTCTTTCAATAATAACTCTACCATACACTTTACCAGGTATACTCAACAGACTTATCCCCCCATAATTTTTGCACTGTCTTTTGTCCCCTTTGCCTTTATACAAAGGAACTATGCATGCTCTCTGCCAATCCCTAGGTACCTTACCCTTTTCCATACATTTATTAAATAATAGCAGCAACCACTCTAAAACTATATCCCCACCTGCTTTTAACATTTCTATCTTTATCCCATCAATCCCAGCTGCCTTACCCCCTTTCATTTTACCTACTGCCTCACGAACTTCCTCCAAACTCACAACTGGCTCTTCCTCACTCCTACAAGATGTTATTGCTCCTTGCCCTATACACGAAATCACAGCTTCCCTATCTTCATCAACATTTAACAATTCCTCAAAATATTCCCTCCATCTTCCCAATACCTCTAACTCTCCATTTAATAACTCTCCTCTCCTATTTTTAACTGACAAATCCATTTGTTCTCTAGGCTTCCTTAACTTGTTAATCTCACTCCAAAACTTTTTCTTATTTTCAACAAAATTTGTTGATAACATCTCACCCACTCTCTCATTTGCTCTCTTTTTACAATGCTTCACCACTCTCTTAACCTCTCTCTTTTTCTCCATATACTCTTCCCTCCTTGCATCACTTCTACTTTGTAAAAACTTCTCATATGCTAACTTTTTCTCCCTTACTACTCTCTTTACATCATCATTCCACCAATCGCTCCTCTTCCCTCCCGCACCCACTTTCCTGTAACCACAAACTTCTACTGAATACTAACACTACATTTTTAAACCTACCCTATACCTCTTCGACCCCATTGCCTATGCTCTCATTAGCCCATCTATCCTCCAATAGCTGTTTATATCTTACCCTAACTGCCTCCTCTTTTATTTTATAAACCTTCACCTCTCTCTTCCCTGATGCTTCTATTCTCCTTGTATCCCATCTACCTTTTACTCTCAGTGTAGCTACAACTAGAAAGTGATCTGATACATCTGTGGCCCCTCTATAAACATGTACAGTGGACCCCTGGTTAACGATATTTTTTCATTCCAGAAGTATGTTCAGGTGCCAGTACTGACTGAATTTGTTCCCATAAGGAATATTGTGAAGTAGATTAGTCCATTTCAGACCCCCAATCATACACGTACAAACGCACTTACGTAAATACACTTACATAATTGGTCGCATTCGGAGGTGATCGTTATGCAGGGGTCCACTGTACATCCTGAAGTCTACTCAACAGTCTTTTATCTACCAATACATAATCCAACAAACTACTGTCATTTTGCCCTTCATCATATCTTGTATACTTATTTATCTTCTTTTTCTTAAAATATGTATTACCTATAACTAAACCCCTTTCTATACAAAGTTCAATCAAAGGGCTCCCATTATCATTTACACCTGGCACCCCAAACTTACCTACCACACCCTCTCTAAAAGTTTCTCCTACTTTAGCATTCAGGTCCCCTACCACAATTACTCTCTCACTTGATTCAAAGGTTCCTATACATTCACTTAACATCTCCCAAAATCTCTCTCTCTCCTCTACATTCCTCTCTTCTCCAGGTGCATACACACTTATTATGACCCACTTTTCGCATCCAACCTTTACTTTAATCCACATAATCCTTGCATTTACACATTCATATTCTCTTTTCTCCTTCCATAACTGATCCTTCAACATTACTGCTACCCCTTCCTTTGCTCTAACTCTCTCAGATACTCCAGATTTAATCCCATTTATTTCCCCCCACCGAAACTCCCCTACCCCCTTCAGGTTTGTTTCGCTTAGGGCCAGGACATCCAACTTCTCATTCATAACATTAGCAATCATCTGTTTCTTGTCATCCACACTACATCCACGCACATTCAAGCATCCCAGTTTTACAATTTTTTTTTTCTTTTTTAGTAAATGTCTACACGAGAAGGGGTTACTAGCCCATCCCTCCCGGCATTTCAGTCGCCTCATACGACACGCATGGCTTACGGAGGAAAGATTCTTTTCCACTTCCCCATGGACAACAGAAGAAATAAAGAAGAACAAGAGCTATTTAGAAAAAGGAGAAAAACCTAGATGTATGTATATATATATGCATGTGCTTGTCTGTGAATTGTGACCAAAGTGTAAGTAGGAGTAGCAAGATATCCCTGTTATCTAGCGTGTTTATGAGACAGAAAATAATTTTAG